CCGGACCTGTAAGCTACCGGACCTGTAAGCTGCTGCTGCTGCTGAGGACTGAGCTCCTGTCATCTGCCAACAGCTCCCAGGATCTTTGGCGCCGGCCCGGGTGCCCTGCAGACGTTCGCGGGAGAGGCGCGGGGCCGGCCAGACGCCAGCGCGGCCTCCTCTCCGTGGAGCTTCGGGTGAGGCGGCCGAGGGGAAGCGGCCCCGGGAAGGAGGGGCCCGGGAGGCGACCTAGTCAGAAACCTCCCGCCGAAGCAGCCTAGGCCGGGCCCTGAGTCAGAGAGCCCGTCGGAGGAGCCTCCCGCACCGCCGGGGACCGCGGACCCGGGTGTGCGCCCTGCGCGGGCTTGGAACCTGGAAGGGACGTGGGCGTGCTGGGGGCGGCTTCTCCTTCGACCGCCTCGGGAACAGCGTCGCTCCCGCCGGGGTGTGCTGAGCCCCTCGCTTGGGCTGGGTCCTGGGGCCAGGTGGGCAGCAGACCCTTCTGGAGCCAGTGGATGCCGCGAGGACCAGGTGTCCGTGTCCACGCCCGGTGCTGGGGGGAGCGGGGACAAAGGGCACAGCCCTGGGCCCGGCGCCCCTCCTGCTGGCCTCCTAACCACCTGATCACGGTTTTGGTGAACTGCATTCTCCGGGTGCTGCTTACTCCTCGGGAGAGACACACCTCGACCCTGATCCCGAGAAGCGGTTCCTGCAGGCAGGACACTGTCCGAGGACCCTGCGGCAACGGGGAAGATGACGGAGGACACCACTCCTGTGGAGGCTTTGACTCTGAGGACAGGTGGCTGAGAAGGGGTCCTGGGGGTGACCCACGCCACAGGCCTCCCTCCCTGGAATGAGGAAACCGCGCCGTGGTGTGTCACCTCCGGCCCCTGAGTCTGACCTCATATCTCGCCTGTAAGATCCTGAGGGCTGGGAGGGTGAGATTTCCCTCCCCTTACCCCTTTGGCAGACTCCTGGGTGGGGTAGTCCTGCTCCCTCCTCCTGTGTCATTCTTCAGAAGCACAGAGGAACCCTGGGGAGTCTGAGGTTGGAAGGACACTCAGTGGGATTTTGAGGCCGTCTGGGCTTTCAGTCTGCCCACTGCTGGCTCGGCCTCGTGTGGGCAGGGGGCTGCCTAGGCCAAAACTCCGCAGTGCTCACCACTTCGGGTCAGGACCACACACCCTGAGGTTGGGCTGTGCAGAGAGGGTCAGAGCGCTAAGAAATGTGCCAAAAGGCTGTGGTCTTTAGCTCCATTTTACAGATGAGGAAACTGAGGCATGACAGGCTGCTGTCAGACGTTCCCTGAAGCTCTTCCGTTTGTGGAGTCAGAATCCTCTGTGGTATTTTCAAGATCCAGTGTCCCGAGACTCCTTGCATGACACCCTTCCTCAGGGAGAAGGTGAGTGGAAGCAGCAGGGACTTTGGAGTCCCTCCAGGGTCCCCTTCTGGGCACCGCCACCTTCTAGTTGTGAGGACTTGGGCATGGTGAGCCAGGCCTCTGGTCAGGGAACCAGGTGTGGAGAATAAGAACACCTGCCTTGGGCCGGCCCGGTGGCGCACTGCTACAGTGCGCCGCTTGGAAAGTGTGGCGGCGCTCCCGCCGAGGGTTCGGATCCCACATACAGACCGGTTCCTGCTCACTGGCTGAGCGAGGGGCGGGCGCAGCACCGAGGGTTGCGATCCCGTTGCCGGTCCCGGTCCGGTACGGGCGCGACACTGAGGGTTGCAGTCCGTTGCCGGAAAAAAAAAAAAAGAACACCTGCCTTAATCCTTGAAAGGGTTCCACTGTGACCATGGTGAGGACGGCCCTCTGCAGACTTGCTTCCGTCCCTGCTGGGTCTGTCTGAAGCCCTGCCTCCCTGCAGGAGCAGCTCGCAGGGGGTCACAGCTCCAAGCCCTGGCCCTGACTTTCCTCCCACAGCCCGTCTCGCCTAGCATCCCAATTGAGGATGACTCAGCCACTGTCCCAGGCTCTCCTGAGCAGGAGGTGGTGACAACGGTGGGGGCAGGTAAAGGAGAAACAAAACATGCCTGTGCCAAGGCTTGCACATTGTCACGATGGGCTCTTGTTTTTAGAATTGACTTAATTTTAAGAGCAAATAAGCGATGGCATAAATGAAAACCTAGCTCAAAGCAACATGCGTTAAAGATTCTCTTGGTGGGTACTGAGGGGGGTGTGTGTGTGATTTTTTTTGCAAGGGCTAATCTCAGGTATGATCTATAGCTTGTGCAGGAGCATTTGAGTTTTCTGCTAAAGTGCCCTCCTATCCCTCTTTCTCTCCAGAGCAACACACACACTGTAGGGAAAATGAAAAGTAAAAGTAAATGGTCAGGATCCCCGGGGGGAGGGTTTGGAATCTTGCCGAGCATTTGATGTGATAACTGCACGTGTGCCCAGGTGTTCTTTGGCTATTGTCTGTGGATGCGTGTGGGCACCCAGGTGTTCCTGGGTTGTTTGACTTGTGCCCAGGTGTTCCTGGGTTATTGGACTTAAATGTAAAGGATGAATGGCTCTGATACGCAGTGCCCTCGGGATGCCCCAGGAGGCCACTAGGGTGGCTGCTGCTAGCCACCTGAGCTTCTATCTGAATAAAGCCTATTAATTTTTACCCATGGCTCCCAGGATCTTTTTCCTATTACCTAGCTCGTGGACCTACAGGTGAGGGGTTTGTGACCCATTGGTACAATGGGTTTGTAGGGTCTGTGGGACCTAGCCCTAGCAATACACACACCATCTACCAAAGTAAGATATGGATTTTAAAGTGATTTTTGCTGTTTAAACTGTTTTTCTTTTAAGTTAATACATGTTCGTGTAAGAAAAAAACTATACACCATAACTTCAAAAATGGAAGCAATTATAAAATCATTATCAGAGCTGACGGAAGCCTAAAACCACTGTACAAATTTGGAGAGAAAATGCTGACTTTGTACTTTTTTGAAAAGCAAAGTAGCATTATTGGCTGGTATAAATATACTCTTTCAAAGGGGGAAAAACATAGGGAGAGATGATAAAGAATAATCCTCTGCTGGGCACAATTAGAGAATTTATAGAACATTCTGGACTTATTCCACAAGATGAAATTGGTCAATAATTTTCTCTAGCTTGTACGTAGCTTAAAATCTTTTCGCTTCCTCAGCAGTAAACCCATTGTGACCACTTGCTGTAGGGACCAAACTCTCTCCAAGCAACTTAACACTTATGGTCTCTTTCCTCAGCAGTCCTTGGTCTGTGTCTGAGGGTCCGGGTGGAGCAACACTTTGTAAGTTACACTGACTTTAGTAAACACTAACTGCTTTGTAATTACAATCTTGAAATAATAGTGACAAAACATTTAGTCATCTTTTTATTATATTAATATGCTCAGGGTGAAATAACCTTTAAGCCCTAGAACAACAACAAAAATATATCACTTAGATATTTGGTAATTTTGGTACCTGAAATAAAGACAAATAGAAAACTATGTTAAAACATTAAAAAGTTGCAAATTTTCATTAAAAGTATTTACATTTGTATTCCAATGCCACATTTATAGATACAGTTCTTTTAAATTAGGTTATTTAATAGAATAGCTTGAAATATGAAAACAGAAATAATTAAATATCCATGACTTATTCATGAGTGAAAATTCAATTATTAGTGTTCCAGATGTAGATATTCATAAATGGCCAAGGGATCTTACAGTTCCTTTTAAATTTTTTATCCTTTATTCTTGGTCTCGTAAGAGTGTACAGCTCTGCAAAGCTTTGAACAGCTGCTGAGCACTGCCAGAATCACTTCAGCATAAACACGATTCTTCCATAACCAGCAGCAGTCGCCTGCTAACGTGAGCCCACGTTTCTTTGTCAAACACTAAAAATGAGGTATTTTTACAAATATCTTCTTTGTTACAATGTATAGAAGTGTTTTATCTGTACGTTAAAAAGGGATTAGAAAATAATGGCCAAAATATTTTTGAAGCCAGAAAGGATTATTTTGTAAACATTTTGGCATCTGTATTTTGCTTTGTCTAATACAGTTTTGTTATCTCTCCCCTCAGACTTTAAAAACTTTAAATAGATTGTATTTTTAAAGGTTATTCTCTGGTAGGTCATATTCTTGTTCAATATTCTGAGTCAACCATACCAGAAGGTATTAGTTTACCAACAATGGAGATTAATTAATGCAAACTCATGGTTACTAACATATCCAGGGAGTACATTTCTCAGTTATTGGTTTTTATATACATTGTTTCGCGTGGTTGGGAATTGAAATGTATTTGTACACTAATTGTAGGATACAAAGTTCATCAATCCCAGACATTTCTAACTGGCATTTTGAAAGCCTGCCCATGTAACGCTCAGGAAGAAAGCATAACCCTTGGTCACTGGGTGGGACGGGGCGGGAGCAACTGTCCTTCGGTCTGCGGTAGGCTCAGCAGTTGAGGAAGCACAGACAGTGGCAGGAGGAGGATGGGGCACTTCCGGGCAGGTTCCGGGTGACCGTGGCTCTCTTCCCTTAGCTAGCCGGACACGAAGCACAGCTAACAAAAGCTACTCGAAGGAAACCCACGAATCACTTCCATAGGATGGGATGGTTGCTTAGGAGCTGCTTAGAAGACTTTTTCAAGTTTGGTTTCATCATTTCAAGCAGTGTTTTGGTGCTTTAAGCATATGGACATTAAGGTTCCAGCTACAACCTGGATTTGAAAGGGACAGGACGGGCCTAAAGCAGGAAGACTCTGAGTCTGCTGATACGTGCTGAAGACTCCTTTGTGTAAAGTAGAAGTTACCCCGTGCCAGAATCACAAACAAGGGATTGAGAAAGGATTCTGATTGACACCCGTGGGCAGGTGAGCATAGAGTGATCAGGTGGAAGGTTGGTTCATCATTTTTTTTTAGTAATTCACAGGTGTAGCGAATCTGAAGCTCCTCTGCGTAAAGGCTGATGCAGCCCTCCACGGGTGCTGACCTCAGCTCAGGTGGGAAACTACACTGTGGGGTCAAGTGAGGGCGAAGTCTGTCACAGAGACAGTGCTACTTAAGCATCTAGAGCAAGATGTGTGCTGAAGTGGGACTGACCTCAGTAACCACTTTTTAGATTTTCTTTTTTGCCTTTATTTCTTGTTACAGTGGAAACAAGTTCTGCAGGTAGTGACACCCTGCTACCCTGTAAGTGAGTGCACTAGGCAGAAAACCTAACAGAAAGGGCCTGTGGGGACAAAAGGCACAGTGAGACATGCTCATGCAGATGTCGCTCTCCTGGTACCACTGCCCTGCTGAGCCAAGGTCCTGCCTGTGTGGAAATCCTACCGTGTGTGACAGAGACCAATATGCAAAAGGTTGACAGTGAACATTTTATGGCAATCACTTCCAACAACTGAGGAGAGAGAGTGCTACGCTTGTGCTGACCCTACCTGTCCACTGCTTTGGTTCCCTTCCAGGCAATGGTTTCTGGCTTTCTCCAGCAGAACAACTGCTCTTCTGGGTCTGATCATGGCCTGAGAGAGGCCCAAAAGCTGCACACAGCTGGATGAGGGCTGCTCTGGGTCAGTTCTACACACACTGTGCCACGAGAGCTGACGGGGCACCCACTCACAAGCGGCTGAGCACAGCTGAGGGACAGCAGGAACGGAGCACGGGGTTGCCAAGTGCAAAAGAGTTAGGAGAAATGGTTATGAGTCAGGACACTTGCTCAGTCCCTTAGGTAGACAAAGGAGACAGAATGTCTGTCACGTCACGGCTTTGTGTGTGTCCTGCTGGAGCTTTTACTCAGGCCTCCCTTCGGGGTAGGGATCTTGCTTCCAACCTTTGATCCTGAGGTCCCTGCTTTGGCTGTTACGGAGCCTTTCCCTGCAGTGCAAACAGACACATGAGACAAGAACTGCATCCAGAGGGAGGCTCTTACCCACGGCGCAGACTGCAGAGCTCACAGTAACAGCGTGAGTGACTGCATCACGGCGCTGTGACCACGGCTGTCACCCACTTCCAGGAGTTAGGCTGAACCTGGTGGGGTCAGCACAGTGGATGGTGGTCACGTGTCCACAAATGGCCAGGCTGACTGTGGCCAAGTGAGATGTGGTTGTGTCGGCCACAGATGCAGATGCACACGTGGTGGCACCAGGAGAGGAAAGAACAAAGAGCTCAGGAGAAATGCCTGCCATGGGAGCAGAGGAACACGGCTCTGAGCTGTTTACCCAACCAGGAGCTTCGAACACGAAGGAAGTGGCAGCCATGACCAGAGATGGACTGCCTGGCCGAGCAGCCATGGGCAGGCTGCCTGGCATGCCTTTCTTTCCTCACTGGTGAAGAGGCTGGCATGAGGCTGACGCCCTGTCCCCCTGTGGCCCTCTGTCCAGGGCCCGTCACAGGCTGGGCCCCCATGCACACTGCCTGTCCTGCTCCATCTACTACGGAGGCATCACTCCCAAAATTAAAGCTGTGTATCCACAGATCTTTTGGTCAGGAATAATTTTCTAATGGAAGATACCATATTTCCTTGTATGGCATCCTAAATTTGACAGAAAATAGCTAAAGTTATGACTTATAAAGCAGGTAGAGGCAGCGCCCATGAGTCTACTGCTTAACTGCGTGTTTCCAGGGGCGCTGGAGTCAGGGATGTAGAGAGTGCCGAGGAGCAGAGTGTGCAGCCTGAGGACGCCCAGCAGGTCTGGTAGGTTACGACTGAGTTAGTGGCACCTGTGGAGCCTTCGGAAGAGCAGCCACAGTTTGGTGCATGTGGAGAATTCCGGTCACATGACTAGCCTGCTCAGTAGGGATCCAGAACATAAGCAAAGACCGGGATGCTCTTCTGAATAAGTTGGAATGGAGGTGGAGACCCTGCGGTGGCAGCACTGGCCCTTACCTGGCGGTAGCACAAGGGCCTTCTGCAGAAGGTGAGTCCTACGCAGGTGCGACGTGCAGCCAGCTGGGCCCATCAGGTGAGCTTTCCAGGCCTGCAATACAAAAGGAGCATGTTCATCAGGCAACGGAGATGGACTTGGGATGCTTTCACAGACCCAAGATGACTCGCTGTTCAAGGTGAAAATGAGAGGCGGCTGCACCGGCAGCAGTGCAGAAGCCCAGCCTTTGGGCCTGCGTGCATCCCCTGGGCTGTGCCTGATGCTGCCTCTGTGCTGTTGTGCAGCCCACGCCTTGGCAGCACCTGAGTCCTATAACCAGGCAAGCCTGCCCCTCACATCCATCCCACCCAGAACAACAGGGCACCTCAGTGCCAGCGTCTCTGAGCACTATAGCATCGTGAGATGTTTTCACATAAGAATATGCAGGTGCACATGCACGGTTTAAGGGTAAAAAGCAGAATGCTGTGTGTGAACACCTCCAAGCAGGGAAACAGAACACTCCAGCCCCAGGGTCCCCGCCATCTTGCTCCCTCAGTTCCTCACATAGTTACTGCTGTCCTCATCTGGGCGTTGCCTGACAGTCACACCGTTCATACGTGTCCCTAGAGTGTGCTGTTTGCACGGGCCTGGCTGTGAGATTTGCATGGAGAAACCACACGTAGCTGTTGCTCTGCAGCCTGCTGCTCCCTCTAAGGTCATCTGTGAGATTCGTCTGTGCCGGCATGTGGAGCTCACTTATTGCCATGGCTGTGTGCAGATGTACCCCGTGTATTCTCGGCTCTTCTGAACCTCTGGGCTACTCCCAGTCTTTTCCTTCCTATTGTGAACAGTGCCCCCTCCATCCCTGGGACATTGCTCCAGTAGGTTCTCCACATGCCCCCCTACAGCTTCTGTTTTTTGGTCTTTCCTGGATCATCTTAACAAGACACAACTGCTTGCCTCTCCCTGATCCCCCTCTGGGGGACAGCCTGTCTTCTCTGTTTGGTCTGTGAGCTTTCTCAGGTCAAGAGAAAGTGGCAGAGGATTGCTGGGCTTGAGTCATCTTGCTGGTACCATGTCCCAGAGGCTGGGACAAGGAGAGGCCAGCAGCAGGACACAGTGGGTGGACTGCAGGTGACAGTAGCTACGGAGGTTGGAGGTGAAGTAGCTAAGCTAGACAACAGGTGTCCAAAGCCAGGAGGGCCACCAGGGCTTGGCACTCCCTGAACTGGCAGAAAAAAGGCATCTCCAGCCAGTTGTGTTAGAGAGCCAGAATAACAGACATGGAGCCGCAGACTGCCCCGGTCCCTCGTCCCTCCTCAGTGCCTCCCACGCCAGAGAAGCAGGTGCGTATGGAAGATGCTGCCCGTCCCCAACAGGCCTGTTGAGTCTCAGGTGCAGCGTGCACTGGGGAAGGTAGGAGAGCTTGGAATGAAGATGCTGCCCGTCCCCAACAGGCCTGTTGAGTCTCAGGTGCAGCGTGCACTGGGGAAGGGAGGAGAGCTTGGAATCAGACAGGACGTAGAACTGTCAGACCAGTCTGGCTTAAGTGTTATGAATCAGAAGTGACCAGAGTATTATAGAATCTGGCCAAGATGCCATTTAGGGCCTCAATACAAAAAAGAAAGCAGTGACCAGAAAAAAATAAACCATTTCATGCTTATATCCTAATGAGACTCCTCAAATAAACCACTTATATGTGTTGTGGAAGGAAGTCGCGTGACTATGCAGGCAAATGGAATAGCTGTTCAGAAAAAGCTGGAACAGAAACGTCCTGCCCCCACACACTCAGCGTGCTTTACACCGCCTGCAGTCCGGCAGTGGCAGCAGTGGAGGCAGCGGGTCACTGCTGCGGCCATCTAAAGGTGTGCCGATTACTCATGTTGGTCACTGTCCCCAGATGGGCCCTCACCTCTTCTCCTGGTGTGAAGTTCTCATGGCACAGAGGACACCGGTTTGCCAGCTTCTCTGGTTTGGCAGCTGAAATGATTTCAATAAAGTAATATTTAGTTACTCCTACGAAATGTGAACAAGAGGGAGGACATTCCAACAGGAATGTCGCCTGCGTGGCTGTCGGACCCTCTTTAGTCACACAAAGGCCCTTGCAGATGCCCCGCAAGCAGCTATGCCTTTTCCCAGGAGCATGCCTGGTGACCAGAGGGCAGGGCCTAAGAAGAAACACTCACGGTTACAACTCTTGGCTTTTATGTGTCTCGGCAGCTCTTCTTTTAAAATGGCCTCGCTGCAGCGGTAACACTTCCCAAACCCTTCTTTCTTGTCACATTCTGTCAGCAAGTGCTCCGTCAGGCTGGAGATCTCAACCACCTGGATCCCAAACACAGAACAAAGCATGTCGCTGAGAACGCTGGCAGGCACCCTGCTGGCCAAGAACACAAACATGCTACAGATGAATTACATGCTGTGTGATTCCATTTGTGTGAAGCTCAAAAAGCAGGTAACACACAATTGTGGCTTCTGACCCCAGGATGGTGATGACTCTGGGGAGGAGACCCGAAGGGCATGTGACACCTCATGGCTTATGGGTGTTTACGTGTGTGTGCTGTGCCTCAACTACTGGTCTCACAGCTTCCCCTCTGAAAGCATGGGGACTTGGGGTATCTAAGTGGCACAGCCCTGTGCCGAGGTCAGACCTGCTTGCAGTGGCCACATCTTGTCAGCATGAGGCAGTGCTTCCAGTAGTGGAGGTCCAGACCTTCCTCCGTGAAGGACTTGCTTCTCTCCCCACAAAAGATACACAAGCTGCAAGGAAACAGCAGAGCAGGAAGTGAAGGCAGAGTCCAGTTCACGGTGGCCCCTGCTCCCATGGCCCAAGGACACCCTGAACACTTTCCCATCCCTCTGTGCTGGTGCCTTCCCCCACCTGAGTCCCCAAGCCTGCTGCAGCCCGGCTGGACCTCACTGGAGGGAGTGCAGCGGGGGCTGCCTGGGTCCTCTGTTAAAGCCCCACAACAGAGTGTTCACCAAGTAGGTGCGTGAAATAAATTAGATCAAAATCCCCCCAAGTCTCAGCTTTGTTAGCACACTCAAGCTCAAAGCGCATTTCAAGTCACAAGAAAAGACATGCCAAAGACATTTCCCTTAAATTCCTATAGGTTTGTCCTGGCCAAAAGGAAAAGTGTTTTGCTGCTACAACACTTTGTGTCTGTGACAGCGATTATGACAAACAGGCTGGTAACTACTGTTGGGGTACAGAGAAGGAAAGCTATCCTGACTTACCGGGAGTTAATGCTGATTAGAAGACAATTTTCCTAGCTTTTAAATTTACTGAAAAAAGCCAATTAATCTACAAAATCATAATGAACTAGGGAGAAGGTATGTATTTTTCAGTATTTTTATGTGACCAGTCTCTCCAGTCATCATGTAATAGGTTAAAGACAGTTTGACTCACTTATCTAAATAGTGATCATCTGGAATTGCCAGAGCATCAGGCAAAGCTGCTTTTCTTCCTTGAGTGTCTGAAGAGATTAAAACAATTTAAGTAACTTTTTGTAAAAGTTATTTTCAAATTATTAGTAATCATTTCATTGTCAACTATTTAAGATACTTTAAAATATAATACAAGTTAAAAAGGTAGTATTTTACATTCGGCTTTAAGACGTCTGAAATGCAGCAGGTGTCACGCAGATACCTGCCACATGACCGAGGGCGGTTTCTGCGTGGGGCTCCCACAACCTGCGCTTACGTACCCGGATTCCTTGGCTTCCCAGCATCACTCTCCTTTTCCTGAGACACAGAAGCAGAGAGGTCAGGGTCAGGGTTGCAGCGGGCATAGAGTCTACCTGGGACACATTTTAATGCTGAAAGTATGCTCTTAGGTTTTGTTTTAGAATTTCCATCTTCAGGTAACAACTTTTTTTTTTTTTTAAAGATGACCGGTAAGGGGATCTTAACCCTTGACTTGGTGTTGTCAGCACCACGCTCAGCCAGTGAGCAACCAGCCATCCCTATATGGGATCCGAGCCCGTGGCCTTGGTGTTATCAGCACCGCACTCTCCCGAGTGAGCCACGGGCCGGCCCAGGTAAGAACTTTTTGAAAGAGTTATCAGCATTCCTTCCTCCCGTTCTCCTGCAAGCCCCTCCCCTTGGGCCCTCAGTCCCCCGCCTCATGGAGGTGGCTCTTGTCCAGGCCACGGGCTCCTGCACGTTGCTCACCCACCAGCCCTTTTCACCACCATCTCACTTGGCCACTCAGTGGCATGTGGCGCGTTGTTCGCCCCTTCTCATCCAGGCTCCCAGGACACCCCTTGAATCTGGTTTCCTCCAACAGCCCTGGCTGTGACTGTTTTCTCCAGGCCCCATCTTCCCTGTCTATGTTTACTCTAATGGTGCTCCCATCCAGTTCCCAGGCTGTAGATACACCTCTCTGTTGAGAGCCCAGAAATTTCCACCTTCAGCCGGGCCCTCCCTCCACATGCGTTTCTAGTCACTGTCAACTTCGTGCATCTAAACCCAACTCCCACTCTCCCTCTTGAGCCCGCACCTCTCTCCGTCTCTCATCTCAGATCGTGGTGTCTTTGCTCTCCACTCTTCAGGCCACACACCTGCAGAGTTCCGACTCCTTTACTGTCAACTTCGTGCATCTAAACCCAACTCCCACTCTCCCTCTTGAGCCCGCACCTCTCTCTGTCTCTCATCTCAGATCGTGGTGTCTTTGCTCTCCACTCTTCAGGCCACACACCTGCAGAGTTCCGACTCCTTACCAACCTCTATCAGACCCACCAGCAAATCCTGTAGGCTCTGGTTTCAAAACACACCCAGACGCAACTGCTTCTCACCACCCCCACCACCAACTCCACTGTGTCTCGCCAGTACTGTGGCTATAGCTTCGTAAAGGATTTCCCTGCTGCTCCTAATACAGGGGCCAGGGTGACCCTGTTAGCACCTCAGCAAGGTGAGTGACTTCTGCTCAAAACCCTCTCAGCCTGTCCCCACCATCTGAGGTGGTCCAGCCACACCGGCTTCCCCGCTGCTCCCTGCAGGGGCTGGGCCCATTCCCGCCTCGGGGCCTTTGCACCAGCTCTGCTCCAGTCCTTGTCCAGTGATCTGGAGGCTGTCCCACCTCCCCTAGCTCTAAGTGCTGTTGCCACGGGCCACCCTCCCTGCTTCAGAACCCCGTCTCTGCTTTAGTCTCCTCCCTAGCACGGACCACTGCCTCTTGCGCTTTGCATCTTCCTGATTCATCTCGTTTGCTGTCTGTCTCCACTCCGGGAACTGAAGGCCCACCAGGGCAGGATTTGTGTCTGTTTTGTTCACTGCTGACTCCCCAGTACCCCAGTGCCTGGTACATATGAGTCCTGAGAAATACCCGTAGAATACATGAATAATTTAGGAGTTGGAAAATTCTTTGTACACAGTGGGCTCCGGTAGCAGAGGCAGGAATCTATCTGGGCCCTCTCCACCAGTCTCCCCCTCTCTCTCTTCCTCTTCCTCCTGCTCAGGTGCTGATGACGGGTGGAGTTCTAACTTAATAAACTGGACAGAAAAGGTCCGCTCTGCCTCCAGAGTGTCACCTGCTGGCTGCAGGGCCGTGCTGCTGCTGCTTGTGGGCAGAAGTGGTCACGGTTGGTTCTGGGGCTGGGGCCCTTCCCGCCACTGCTCCTAAGTGGCTTCCCGCGTCCTCCCAGTCTTGAGACACACCTCAAGTTTTCCTTGCTGCCACTCAGCCTTCCAACACTACTGTCATCTACAAAAACTGGAAATTAGTTGAACTCATACTGCCAGGGGACCAACCATCTTGGTCTGAGGAGGGTTGGAGGGGACTCCCCAGGGATTTCAGCTTTAAAGGGGAATGGGGACAAGTTGGTCATCCTATACACACATTTAAATGATGTATTACAAACATGAATCCCACCTCCTGCATTTACAGAAAATGAAATCGTACACGACAGTACTTTCTCTCAAACCCAAACAGTGAACATGAAAAACACATACAAAGCACAATTTTAGAACCAGAAAAGAACTTAACAGATCAGTATTAAACTTGCAAATGGGGTTGGCATGATTTACATACCTACAGAGTAGAGAAAGCAAACCTAACACAATTGGATTCCAGGGACTGAAGAAATGCTGAGATGGGACACAGCAACAGGAGTCACAGCCGCGGGATTCTGTGCCGTGACAGGGAGCAAGCGCTTAGTGTCAGGGCTGAGGCACCCACCAGCTCCTGACCTTGAGTAAGTCCCTTTGGTTTGCTGCGTTTGTGTCCTCATTTGTATGCCATCAGGGATAATAATTCACGTGCGCCAGGTCACTGAGAGCATGGCTACACGTGAAAGTCTTCATATGCCACAGTCTACCACACGAGCCAAGGAACCGCCCCCAGCCCCCCACCTCGCTGCCCCGTTCTCTCCTTTTCTCACCTTTCCGTCACTCAGGCATCTAGTGGCAATGTTACTGTGGCTTTCTGCCATAGGAAGTTCAATGTACATTCGGTCATCTTTTTTATTTCCCTTCCGACCCATTTCTCCTTTTCACTGTGGTGAGGACACTGAGCGTGCGCTGCAGTGTGCAGTCCAGCAGGGTCCTGCAGGGAGCCGCGCAGCCGGCCCAGACCCTGCTCATGTTGACGGCTGAAACTTTACACCTTCAACAGCAGCTTTCCGTGACCCCCACTTTTTCTTTCTTTTTAAAATAAATTTTTTTTCAACTTAGGGAACTTAATACAAAATTAGTGTTATGAAACTAACTTAAATCTCAGAAGCAGGGCAGTTTAAGAGGAAGAGGTTTACACTCAACCGAACACTATCTGATCCCACTGTGTGTGATTCCTCCACAGGCTGAAGAGTAAGGGCTTCCTCTTCCAATGCACTGAAATCAGATCTTCACATTCAAGCTGGTTTTGTGTAGAGGGTTAAAAATCTTGATTCTGGTTTGACTTTTAGACAGGGTTCTTTAGCTAAAAAACTTATGGGAGGAAAGCCCACAGCTAGTGGGGCAAAAAGTCTATCTAATCAAGTATATGTTGATTTTTTTTTTTTTTTGTCCTTTTTGAGACTGGCCGCACCGCACTCAGCCAGTGAGCGCTATGAGCGCACCGGTCATCCCTATATAGGATCCGAACCCGCGGCGGGAGCGCTGCTGTGCTCCCAGCGCCGCACTCTCCCGAGTGCACCACGGGCTCAGCCCCAAGTATATGTTGATTCTCAGTTGATTTTTAGATAGGGTTTTTAGGTAATGCATGTAGGGGACAAAAGTCCTCAGCTAGGGGGCAAAAGCCCACAGCTACTGGGCAATGGCCCATCTAATCAATTTTTTTTTTTTTTTTTTTTGACCGGTAAGGGGATCACAACCCTCAGCACGGTGTTGTCTGCGCTGCGCTCAGCTAGTGAGCGCACCAGCCATCCCTATATAGGACCTGAACCCGTGGCCTCGGCACTCCCAGCGCCGCACTCTCCCCGAGTGAGCCATGGGGCCGGCCCCATCTAATCAATTCTAATCCATGTTTAGGGATGGGATTATGTACTTTGATTATTTAACATACTGATTTTTGTTAAAAGATGTTGAAAGAACTGCTGTAGGGAAAAATGTGAAAAAATGTTTGCTAAGGGCAAGCTGTTTGTTGTTGGAAACTTTAGAGACAATTATACTTAGATTTAGTCATAAGAATTTAACTTTTGCTTAAATCATTTAAGGAGAGGTTATATGTTGGATTAGATAACGATTGCAGTTTGATCAACCTAGCTTTTCACAAATTGTACTTTGGAATGTCACATTCTTAATTTAAATGATGTTCCCAGTTTCTATTGTTTAAGCTATACTTAGCTGTAGATAACTTTTGTCACATTGTCCATGTCTTTGTGTCCTTTTGAAATGACTGAATCAAGTGATTTTTCTTGTGAAACTTCCTTGTCTTTACAATAAAGACAAGCTAACTGTGACTCGGGGCTGTACCCGGTTTTCTCCTAACGGAGGAGTTGCTGAGGTGCAGGCCCTTCGGGCTTCTCATTGCATTCATGTTGCTTTGAGTAATCCTTTTTGCATCTCTGTTACACAGTGAGAAGTGTAACAGTTTTGCTCCTTTGCCTCTGAAGGAGGCTAGGGGCCTCAGGGGAGAGGACCTCTGTCTCCTCCCCTCTCTCATCCTGCACAGCTCCAGGACTCCTCTCTAAACACTGGCAGCAGTTCACTCCAGTCCCAACAAAGAGAAGCACATGACAGATGATCAGACACTAATTCCAACCATCTAAGGGAGGTCTTCTTTTATCTACCCCCAAATTAGTTTAAAAACAATAAAGACACCCATTTGCACAATCCCACTGAAGGTAAATCAAGGACACTGTGTATCTAAATAATGAAATAAATTTCAACTTAAAGCAGCCTGATGAAGATACATAAACTTCTCCCACCTGGACTTCAGCCTGAATTTCTCTCAGTGCTGCCAACTGCCCTTGTAAAGCTTTGATTTCTTCCTTCTTTTGTTTTTCTGCTGCTTCTGTAGCGGCTTTTTTCTGTGCCTGGTAAGAAAATTATGTTTCCATTAGAATAGCTTTTTAGGGTATTCTTAGAAACTGGGAGACAAATGATGGCATATAAATTATGTTTCTTATACATTATGAAAGTCACTAAGACCACTAATATAACTAGGGTTATACTGCTAAATTTCTCTGATTAATTTAATGAATGATGATCAATAGATGAAACTGCAAATGTCCTCATGGCTATCGTTACTCCTATTTACAGACTGGGAAGCTGAGGGTCTCACAGGCAAACAGTGGAAGAGCCAAGATCTGAACTCAAGGAAGCAAAACTCGTAGCCAGCATGCCTGTGCTGCCCGAGCACATGGCTCTGGAGAACAATCTGTTATTTATTCATGTACAAAGTAGCTTCTTAAATATAGGGTTAGATCGTGATTTCGTTAAAGTTAACTTACCCTAATTTCAGCATCTGTAGGTCTGCCATCTATTTTAGCAAATCCCTCAAAGATTGTTTTGTAGAGGACATTCTTGCGAGTGTGGTTGTCATCTGGAGGGAGGTACTCTAGAATAAAAGCCTGGTGCTGTTTATACATGTCCAAAATAATTCTAACCGCTGTTTCTCGCACCTCATACACTCTGTGCTCCAGGGCACTCACTGAAAACTAAAAATAAAGTTGGGAGGGGTTCTTGTTGTTACTGAGCCTTAAAATGACAAAGTTAAATTTTTTTCCAGCATAAAAGAAGTACATTCTAAAAATCTGAAAAAGAAAACACCATACACAGAATCCTATATATTAAGACACATACAGAGTCATTCTCTTAGTTGACCTTACATACATGGTTGAACTCACGTATGTCTCATTTGTGTTTTGCTTTTTTCTACTTAATGCATTAACAAGCATCTTTTAGGTCATATCCTTCCATAAACTTCCCGTTAAGTATCACAAAACATTCCAAACATACGGAGGAAGAGATACGAGAAACTTCATGGATCCACCACCTAGATTTATCCAACGTTACAATTTTACATGCTTGCTTTCTTTTTGTTTGTCAGAAATAGAACACCTTGGCTACATGTCAGTCCCCTGTGTAGGTCTCCCCAGCCACTGTCTTCTTGTCCTCGCTGGAGGTGTCCACTCTCCCGAAGCTGCCACCCACGTGTCTTCACTTACTGCAGCGTGTGCGTGGCTGCGAGTGTGTGTATGTGTGCGTAAACATTATAATTGTCCTCGCTGGAGGTGTCCACTCTCCCGAAGCTGCCACCCACGTGTCTTCACTTACTGCAGTGTGTGCGTAAACATTATAACAGTATACTGTGCTTCTTTCTGAAACCTCCTTTTTCCTTACTCAACATTACGTTTTCACGTCTGTGCGCATTCATTCCTCTGACCCACTTCATTCACGTGAACTGCTCTGTGCTGCCTCATCGTATGAACACGTAGTATACTCATCCGGCCCCAGGCCAACATTGACGTTCTTAGGAAATCGCCATTGCCCAATGGTCCTCTGGGCATCCAGGGCTCTCAGTTCCTGGGTGTCCTCACTTCAGACAGTCTCAGACTGAGCCCCACACTCTGAGGTTCTCCCCAGACGCTGTCATTCTAGTTATTGTACCATCCCTGAAAGCACTGCTCTGAGGGACCCCGCACTCTGATCGCCACCTACTTCCAGCCTCGTTTCTGTGCTCCTTCCTCGAGTCTCCCAACCCTGCTGGCCCTGCAGTCCATCCCTGCTGCTGCTGCTGTCTTTCTACATCTGTCATCTCCCTCAGGTCTTTCACTGCACTGTGTCCAGTTTGGCTTGTATGGCCATCGGGACAGTCACTGCTGGCATCCATGCACACCTGTGACATCCTGGGCCCTTTCTCCCTTCTTTGTGTCACCAGGAGAAGCTGAATGTGATGGCAGACTTCAGAATCACGCAGGCTGGTTTCCCTTTAGACTTCCAGCCATACACAGCAAGGGGGCCCTGGGCACTACACAGCAGACCCTTGTCAGTCCACTCCAATGTCAAGGGGAGCATTTTATACTCCCTTCTTGCCTCTCAGACCTCCACTATCCATCTCAGCTTGGAGCTGACTTCCTCCTGGGAGGAGCATGACGGTCCTGCTCCCATCTGAGGCCAGCCCTGCTGTGGTACCCTGAGCTCAGGGACTTGGCTTCCACTACTCCCCATACCTGTCTCCTAATTCTATCAATTTTTCCATCTTCTGCCCCCCATACCCCCTGGCTGGATCATTCCTGCCAGCATTTAGATGGCCCAAGACATGAAGGTGTGCTCAACGAAACCAGCTCCTTCTCTTCCTCAGTGCACAGCTCTGCTGTACCTCTCAGTCCCTGACAATTACGATGGGCCATCCTGGTCAACGGGAATGTGGGCAGTGGCTTAACCCATGAAAACCTCCCTCTCACAATCCTCTAATCACATTCCTTTATTCAGTGCCCTGGGAGGTGATATGTGAAAACTGGTGGCATCATACATGTAGGACACTGAGTCCCCAAATGACTGCACGTCGCAGAGCATGCTCTATCTTTGCTAACTGCAGGGGACCATGAAGAGAGACAGAAATAAACTTTCACTGTGTCAAGCCACTGAAATTTTAGCATTCGTTACTGTATTGTAGCCGACTGTAACTAATCCTGAAGTGGGGTGCTGCTGTAAGAATTTGAATCTGTGGGGCAGGCTTCGTGGCTCTGTGGTGGGGAGCAAGGAACTGAGCTTGCAGGCAGGGAAGAGGGGGCACCAAGCTGTGCAGAACCTCTGCCACAGCTCTTGCCCACTGCAAATCAGAAGGCAGAGCGCGGCCTGCTGAGCTGGCAGTGCTAGGAGGATACAGCGGAATCACTGGGGTATTGCAGTGTCTGGGCTACAGCTGGCTGCCTCTGACAAGCTATGCAAAAGGAAGCTGAGCTCAGAACAGAACTGGCAGTGCGCAATCAGAAAGGAAAGGACTGGGCTTCTCTGAGTCCGATAGGGACCCGCCGGCAGGCCTGAGGGGAGGGTACCATGATGAAAACTGTGTTCCACAAGAGAGCTCCCAGTATTTTGCTGAGAACAGTCTGCAGGGACAAGGGAGGAAGAGGAAGGAAAGTCCACTGCGGAGTCTGTGACCTCAGCCCAGGCAAGAGGCGGCTGGCCCGGCTGGGAGCAGTGAAGGTGTGGGACCTGGTCAGGTCTGGACGTGTTTTCAGGGAGGGCCCAAAGCATTTGCTAATAGAGGCTCGAGACAAGGGGCAGCGTCAAAGGAGACTCCACGGTCATGGCCTGAGAAGGCAGAAGGATGGAGGTGCCGTGTACTGAGCTGGGAAGGCTGGAAATGAGCAAGTGGAGTTTGATTGGGACTTGGTGAGTCTGAGGCTTGCTAATATCCAAGTGGAGGCCGAGTCGGTGCCAGAGGAACGGGTCGGTGCCAGGGGAGCGGGACAGGCCTGCGATATATATTTCGAGTCTTCAATAAATGGAGTCAGTGAGGGGCTGGCCCCGTGGCTCACTCGGGAGGGTGAGGTGCTGGTAGCGCCGAGGCTGCGGGTTAGGATCCTATATAGGGATGGCCGGTGCGCACACTGGCTGAGTGTGGTGCAGACAACACCATGCCGAGGGTTGTGATCCCTTTACCGGTGAGAATACAAAAATACAAAAAACGGAGTCAGTGAGATGGCTGAGGGAGGTAAGAGCAGGTAGAAAGGAGAACAGGCACGTCACGCTGCAATGCGACACAGGCAGGAGGAGGGAGCAGGACCAGCAAAGCAGCTGAGATAGCGAGGCTAGTGCGGCGAGGGAACGGGACGGCACGGGGCTCTGAACTCCCACATCTATCAGTGAGACAGGTGAGCAGCAATATGCCTGGCTGTGCATTTTACTATGTCAGGTCCAATAGGAACAGAGAATCAACAGAGAAGAAAGTCGGTGACCGACTCACCACAGCTTCCTCCACCTCTCTCCGCATGAGAGGAACAGAGGCGGAGAGCCCGTCTCTGGACTGGACTGGTAACACTCACCACGAAGCATTTATCCACACGACTGGCTAAGATGCCGGCTGCACAGTCACAGCTACATTGTCAACACGTTTGAAATCAGGACATAGCAAATTTTTGATTGCTAGAAAATTTCTTAGAACTTCCATGGTTTAATTAAAGTTGTCCAAAGCACAAAATCATGTACACTTAGTATACCTGATAGTCTCTGCTATACTGCAATTATTTCTTATAGACAAGGAAATGTTTCTTATGACTTGTTTCCCACTATGGACAAAGATCTGTACACACCAGGCACCAACTAATGAAATTAATAAAAGCAGGAAGACTGCAAGTGCCATTTGTTAGATGCAACAGTAATGATTTTTCCAAAATCACTCACTCATTCATTCATTCATTCATTCAGTAAACAAAGATTAGACACTTGCCATGCTCCAGGCACTGTCCTAAGTGCTGGGGCCACAGTGGCACATCACACGAGGCCTGCTTACCTTCATCACGTTGTCGACAGTGAAGCCTGAGCTCCCAGTGCCCAGGTCTTTAAGCAGTCGGGCCAGAAGGCCCGTCTGACTCATTGCCAGGTGAATCGAAGCGTTTCCTTTCAATGGCTGCACCAAGTAAGATGGGATAATTTGCAGGGACTTCACTTCCTTAAACAAGGCCATTTCCTATAAAAGTCAACACAGTTTGTTAATTTTTGCTGGAAAATGCTGGAGGAAATTTAGTACAATTTAGTATAGTTTCCAAACTAAACAGTGAAGGAAAAAATAGGGAAATAAAAGATAATAGTGACGAGGGGCAGTAAAATCATTGGTCTATAAGATCATATTTCTTTTTTTGGCAGCTGGTATGGGGACCCAAACCCTTGACCTTGGTGTTATAACACCGTGCTCTAACCCACTGAGCTCACAGACCAGCCCAAGATCATCTCTCTATTGAAAGCATAATAACAGTCAGGAACTATATAACCCAAAGCATGAGAATTAAGACCACGATCCCTTGGCCATTAGTGAGAGCTTCACAGAAAACATAACTGAGCACTTGGAGGTCCTGTTCTCAGTATTGCCAAACCTCAAGAAAAAGTCTTCTTTTTTTTTTTTTCCTTTTTGTCTTTTTTCGTGTCCGGCAATGGATCGCAACCCTCAGTGTCGCGCCCGTACCGGACTGGGACCGGCAACGGGATCGCAACCCTCGGTGTTGCGTCCGCACCTCGCTCAGCCAGTGAGCGGCCGGTCTGTATGTGGGATCCGAACCCTCAGGTGGGAGCGCCGCCACGCTCCCAAGCGGTGCACTGTAGCAGTGCACCACCGGGCCGGCCCGAAAAGTCTTCTAAAACTACAAAATAAACTATAGTTTTGCTGCTAGAATTATCACTGCTTTAGTATTTGTTGAACATTAACCAAGAGTGTAACCACGTAGGTTCTCCAGTTAATACGACTACTCGTGGGCCAAGATGAAAAAACGTCAGTACCACTACATATGTTAATGTGTCTAAACAAAAAAGTCTTTCTGTGATGAAGATATTTATCATTTTATTAGTCAGATACAGAGAAAGAAATGATAAAATACTGAAGCATTTAAGTGGCAATACAGAAAAAATCTGTTTTTAATAAGTCTGTAAGTCAATAACCTCTCACTTTGCCAGCATGATAAACTGTATATTTGGGCCTATGAGCGGCTCTTTACAGACGTAAAAGACAAAAGAAGGATAAGGGCACTCCTCAGAGAAGTCTGAATGGGGAACTCGCTACGCCACCACCAACGCCGCGAGTATGGCGCATCCGGTCGGCGGTCGGCACGCTGGTGCGCAGCGGTCTTAACCCTGCCCTATGCTGCGGTGAGGTGACCTCACCCCCAACTACTCGGAAATCAACATGGCTTAAGAAAATGAAATGGAGCGGCAGCATGTTCTCATTTCCAACCTGTCTCTTGAAAGACGGCCCCTCCACACTGTGACCCGCGCTAACAAGGAACGCACTGTAGCACTTTAGTGTCACCTGTGTTTACCTTCTTATCATTATGACTTACTTTTCCTTATTAATTTTTCCTAAAAATTTAAGTTTATCAAATGAAACTAGGCCTGTGGTTCTTCATACTTTGGAGAAATTACCCTTTTGAGAAACTATGAAAGCTCTCAATTCCTTCCTAAGAGAGAGAGGCATGCTCACAAAATTTTGTGAAACACTGAATTCCTAGACTTTCTGAAGCCCAAGAACTTTCTGACCCTTAAGAACTCCTAGACTAGATGAATCCATTAGCTCATTTAAAGACAGTGAAATACATGCTCAGCTACTTGGTACAACTGTGTGCCACAAAACTCTCATACGTTTACTTCTACTTTGGTTTTTCCCACAATGCCTAATCTACAGCAGGCTGCTTGGTGAAAGAAGATATGTACATTAAGACAATTACGCTTTATCATTTCTTTACCCCCAATGTTCTAGTTTGATATAGTTTTTCATATATTTTTATTTATTTAAAAAATTAATGTTGGTAAAAGAAACACTGGGAAGCCAAAGTGTACGTTTTATTTTTTTGTCTTTTTTTGTGACCGGTAAGGGCATTGCAACCCTTGGCTTGGTGTCACCCGCACCGCACTCAGCCAGTGAGCGCACCAGCCATCCCTATATAGGATCCCGAGTGAGCCACGGGGCCAGCCACAAAGTGTACGTTTTAACCAAAGTTTACGTCTAACACAAGTTTACCTTTGGAACATTAAGGACAGTGTGATAATGAACCCCAAAGGGTAATTTATAATGCTCTTGAGTAGACATACTCTTGTAAGGCATTAAGAAAGTCAGATGTCTGTAGAATATGTTTATTATTTATGGTTTCAAATGTCATGATGCAGTTCAGACCTGAATAAAATTTGCAGCTATGACACGGAGGCGGGTGGAAGAATCTCCGGTTCTGGAGAGCAAAACGGGAACGGTTCTGTCCACACAGTGGGCTGTTTCGAGTTTGCTCAGTTTATGTTTGGGGATATATTGTGTGATTATCATTTTCAACAATTTCAAAGAAGCCTGGAAGACCTAAGAAAAAACGATAAACACAGATGAGCTACTATAATTGAATTCTACCAAAAGTAAACATGAAATTCACTATTAGTAGTAAATAGGGACACTATATTGAAAATTACACCTTGTCTGAAGGGCTGAAATGGCAAACTGAAAGCTTCCGGACGAGGACCCTGCATGAAGGAGACGCATGCTCTTACTCCATTGTATCATGAAGTGCTCAACCTACTTCCCGGACACCAGACATCCAGCATTACTGCCTCAATGGATACGCTCCCGTGTTAATGCAGACAGCAGTATAACTGTGAAATGTTCATTCTGAAGGCCCATTTGGAATTAGAAAAATTCAATAGTAACCCCTAAGCTCCTCAGGTTTCATGAAAAATAAAAACATAAGCTGCACACTTGTTAGTTGTGGTGAATCAGGACACTGCAATCACCTGGCTTTGAAGACCATGGAAAAGTGATCACTGTTCAAGGCTGGAGAGGATGACCCTAGCAATGACAGATTTCACGGACCCTTCATTTACAACCAACTGTACCCTCTATTTCTTGCTAAGAGAACCTTAAATCCTAGCTATGCTCTTAAGCTAGAGTTGGTGACTATGTCAGTGACCAGGTTCTCTCTCAAGTTGCTCTGGTGTACTGTGGCATGTCATGTGATCTGGAGCCAGCGCCAGCTGAGGAAACTCACTGAGGTCACAATGTCCTTGATGGCTCTTCTAATGAGAAAGATGGACGCCCTCAGTGTGCTCTTTAAATCTTCTTTTGGGGTTCCAACAGGCATCTCCATCAACTTTTGGTACAAAGCAAGCAGTGCATCCTCTCGGTAGGACCACGTCTTGGAATAGGCCCCAGCCACCTGCCGCAAAACAGGAGCCTGGCTTTACGCAACAGCTAGCATTTTTGTGACAGCACATGACCACCCTCTCCGGCGCCAGACAACTTGAGGCTTTTTTTTTTAAACTAAGAATCTTTTCTAATAAGAGGATCTCTACAGAATAAATATGTCTATTTAGAGAAATAATTTTTCTAATAAGGAGAAAACTT